ACTGTTGATAATTCCGTTTTATATGAATTCCATGTTGTACGAGTCACTTAGTTTTTACAAATACGTGAGCCGTTCACAGCCCGGAACACGTATTTGTAAAATCTAAGTGACTCGTACAACATGGAATTCATATAAAACGGAATTATCAACAGTGTTATAGGGGGGTCGACTGTACATTTATAATAGATACATTTTGAGCCATGACAAGGTGTGGCGGGGTCTGCTAGTTTATTATTATTTGAAGTTGTTCCTTGTCAATGTTTTTATTTTTATTTACAAAGTAGAAATATTTTGTTTTGTTCTCATTTAGTTTTAACATATTTGAGCTCTTGTAATCAGTTAGTTTGCAGAGGATGTTATTTAATTTGTATTGTGCTGCTTGGGGTTATTTTTGGAATGTATTAGGACAATATCATCTGCATATGTTACTACTTTTGCTTTTGGTATCACTTCAAATAGGTTATTCAAGTAGATGTTGAAGAGTTAATTGTGCAAGTATTGATCCTTGGGGAATTTTAGTTTTTAGTGAGAAGCTTTTTGAATACGCATTGTTTACTTTTACTTGATATCTTCAGTTTAACAGATACGACATTAACTATTGTAGAGGTACTTCTGTTAAGCCAATATTAAAAAGTTTTTTTTCGAGAATCAGAGGTCCACACTGTAAAAAGCTTTTAATAAGTCTAGAAATAAGGCTATTACTGAACAAGATTTGTCTAATTTGTTTATAACTTCCTGTTTGAAATATAATAATGTATCTATTGTAGAGAAGTTTTCTCTGTAAGCATATTGATGACAGTGAATCACATTTAGATTGGCAATGTATTTCCAAAGTTTTTTATATAAAATTTTCTTCGTTATTTTTACTAGCATGGGGATGGTGATAATCGGATGGTAATTTTCTATGTTGCTTTTAGACCCTTTATTTTTTGTATATTGGTATGACCATATTGTAATTTAATTTATTCGGGAAGGTTTCTGTTTCAAAGGAATAAGTGCAGTTTGTTTGTGTATATTGTTTTGTATAATTCATTTAAAGTAAATTTTATATTATTTAATAAAAGAATTTACTGTAGATGATTTAACAGAAAGAATTGTTTAGTGAGAATTAAAACAAATGTAGTAGTAATAAAAAATCCTGTAAGGTTATGTTTTCACAAATACTTTAGAAAATGGTTTGGTCTTGAAATAATTTTTTTATTTATGCTAAACAAACACTATTTTCTAAAAATCAGTTTCATGTTTTATTTTACCAATTTCTAGTTTTATCTTCAAGATACAAAGAGCAGTAATGGAACTTTTGTCAATAATCAGCGACTCAGTAAAGGATCAGAAGAGTCTCCTGCCAGAGAAGTTTGTTCGGGAGACATTGTACAGTTTGGAGTTGATGTGGTGGAAAATTCCCGTAAAGGTATGTTTTCACATTATGTAATTTTTAATTTGTATAATTTATTTTGTAAAATAAAGTCAGTGTATAATTTTTAAAAAACAAATACAGTAGAGCATCGATTATCCGACTCAATTGGGACTCAGGTTGGTCGGATAACTGAAAAANAACACGTATTTGTAAAATCTAAGTGACTCGTACAACATGGAATTCATATAAAACGGAATTATCAACAGTGTTATAGGGGGGTCGACTGTACATTTATAATAGATACATTTTGAGCCATGACAAGGTGTGGCGGGGTCTGCTAGTTTATTATTATTTGAAGTTGTTCCTTGTCAATGTTTTTATTTTTATTTACAAAGTAGAAATATTTTGTTTTGTTCTCATTTAGTTTTAACATATTTGAGCTCTTGTAATCAGTTAGTTTGCAGAGGATGTTATTTAATTTGTATTGTGCTGCTTGGGGTTATTTTTGGAATGTATTAGGACAATATCATCTGCATATGTTACTACTTTTGCTTTTGGTATCACTTCAAATAGGTTATTCAAGTAGATGTTGAAGAGTTAATTGTGCAAGTATTGATCCTTGGGGAATTTTAGTTTTTAGTGAGAAGCTTTTTGAATACGCATTGTTTACTTTTACTTGATATCTTCAGTTTAACAGATACGACATTAACTATTGTAGAGGTACTTCTGTTAAGCCAATATTAAAAAGTTTTTTTTCGAGAATCAGAGGTCCACACTGTAAAAAGCTTTTAATAAGTCTAGAAATAAGGCTATTACTGAACAAGATTTGTCTAATTTGTTTATAACTTCCTGTTTGAAATATAATAATGTATCTATTGTAGAGAAGTTTTCTCTGTAAGCATATTGATGACAGTGAATCACATTTAGATTGGCAATGTATTTCCAAAGTTTTTTATATAAAATTTTCTTCGTTATTTTTACTAGCATGGGGATGGTGATAATCGGATGGTAATTTTCTATGTTGCTTTTAGACCCTTTATTTTTTGTATATTGGTATGACCATATTGTAATTTAATTTATTCGGGAAGGTTTCTGTTTCAAAGGAATAAGTGCAGTTTGTTTGTGTATATTGTTTTGTATAATTCATTTAAAGTAAATTTTATATTATTTAATAAAAGAATTTACTGTAGATGATTTAACAGAAAGAATTGTTTAGTGAGAATTAAAACAAATGTAGTAGTAATAAAAAATCCTGTAAGGTTATGTTTTCACAAATACTTTAGAAAATGGTTTGGTCTTGAAATAATTTTTTTATTTATGCTAAACAAACACTATTTTCTAAAAATCAGTTTCATGTTTTATTTTACCAATTTCTAGTTTTATCTTCAAGATACAAAGAGCAGTAATGGAACTTTTGTCAATAATCAGCGACTCAGTAAAGGATCAGAAGAGTCTCCTGCCAGAGAAGTTTGTTCGGGAGACATTGTACAGTTTGGAGTTGATGTGGTGGAAAATTCCCGTAAAGGTATGTTTTCACATTATGTAATTTTTAATTTGTATAATTTATTTTGTAAAATAAAGTCAGTGTATAATTTTTAAAAAACAAATACAGTAGAGCATCGATTATCCGACTCAATTGGGACTCAGGTTGGTCGGATAACTGAAAAAATCGGATAACCGAAAATAATGAAAAAATGCATTATTAGTATAGTATATTAGGATATCCCATGTAATTAGTATATTAGTATATCAATATTAACCAACTTTGTGTTGAATTTTCATCGATGTTTAGCCTAACAAATTTTTTTAAAATAATAATCATCGCTATTGTATCGTTAAAAATTATTTTTAAATTATTTTATTGCTCACAAAACAAACAATCACTCATAATTAGAAAAATAAGTTTCCTTTAAATACTGGCCTCCCTTCAATGGTCAAGCTGGTGTTGCCAGCTAAAACACTCAAAAATTTAACAAAAGTATCCAAGACATAGCCAAATATTGTAGCACCACATCACTAGCGGACATTTGAAATTTGCCGACTAGAACGGTCGGTTAACCAATGTGACAGTTAATTGGGGGTCAGATAATTGATGCTCTACTGTAATGTATTATTTAAAAATTTACTATTCTATAAATAACAACTGTTCTTTATAGCAAGAAATGACTACATAAACATGAAAATAATGGTAATCTAAACTTGGTTTAGATTACCATTGTTTTTTTTATCTATATAAATAATCTTGTTGTGAATGTGTCTCTTTAATCTGATCAGTTCAGTTCGGTAGACTATCAATACAATAAGGTTAATGTGAAATTGTATTTGAAGTGTTTTTAATGGCTGTATTTTAAACTATTTCCAACGTTACCTGTTATACACCGTGGTTTTTAGAAGACAGAACCTTGGTTTTGAACTGAAGAGGGACTTAAAATTCATATAAGTCCGAAATGCATATGTCAAAACAATAAAAGAAGTATCTAACCTGAAAGCTGTATTGATAGTCTACCAAACTGAATTGATCGGATTAAAGAGACACATTTACAATGAAATAGCAGCTACCATAAGTGATGTTTAGATAAATAATCTTGTATTTGGTTACAGTTGAAAGTTTAAAAAAATAGGAATTAAAATAATTTGATTGATAGCATAATATAACATTATTTTGGTGTAGGAAAATGATTTAGAACTCATTTGTTATAGTTCTAAATTATCATAAAATTGAATTGTCCTATGTAAATAAACTGTTTAAATTAATTATATTAATTTCTAATAATTAGTTTTAAATTAAAATATAATTTATTTTAATTGTGATGTAATAGGAAATGACTTAATTTGTTGCTAGTCTTGTGTTTGTTAAATTTGCCAATNTAAATACTGGCCTCCCTTCAATGGTCAAGCTGGTGTTGCCAGCTAAAACACTCAAAAATTTAACAAAAGTATCCAAGACATAGCCAAATATTGTAGCACCACATCACTAGCGGACATTTGAAATTTGCCGACTAGAACGGTCGGTTAACCAATGTGACAGTTAATGGGGGGTCAGATAATTGATGCTCTACTGTAATGTATTATTTAAAAATTTACTATTCTATAAATAACAACTGTTCTTTATAGCAAGAAATGACTACATAAACATGAAAATAATGGTAATCTAAACTTGGTTTAGATTACCATTGTTTTTTTTATCTATATAAATAATCTTGTTGTGAATGTGTCTCTTTAATCTGATCAGTTCAGTTCGGTAGACTATCAATACAATAAGGTTAATGTGAAATTGTATTTGAAGTGTTTTTAATGGCTGTATTTTAAACTATTTCCAACGTTACCTGTTATACACCGTGGTTTTTAGAAGACAGAACCTTGGTTTTGAACTGAAGAGGGACTTAAAATTCATATAAGTCCGAAATGCATATGTCAAAACAATAAAAGAAGTATCTAACCTGAAAGCTGTATTGATAGTCTACCAAACTGAATTGATCGGATTAAAGAGACACATTTACAATGAAATAGCAGCTACCATAAGTGATGTTTAGATAAATAATCTTGTATTTGGTTACAGTTGAAAGTTTAAAAAAATAGGAATTAAAATAATTTGATTGATAGCATAATATAACATTATTTTGGTGTAGGAAAATGATTTAGAACTCATTTGTTATAGTTCTAAATTATCATAAAATTGAATTGTCCTATGTAAATAAACTGTTTAAATTAATTATATTAATTTCTAATAATTAGTTTTAAATTAAAATATAATTTATTTTAATTGTGATGTAATAGGAAATGACTTAATTTGTTGCTAGTCTTGTGTTTGTTAAATTTGCCAATTTACATCTGTTGAATATGAAATGAAAATGACTACCAAATCATATGATGTACAATTTTGATATAAAGTGCCGGTGAGAAAAATACAAGGCTGTAAAAGATTTATAGTTATAAGTAAGGATTTAGTTACATCTACAAATTAAAAAAGAACATTCCACTATTGTGTAAAAACTTTCACTGTCTGGACAAAATAAATTTGCACAATTAAATTAGCTATTTGGTTCCAGTTAAAAATATATATATTTGTATTTGATGTTTTCATTAGTAAAATGTGCATTAATTTTATTGTTCATATATAAAAATGCTTAGTTGTAATGTTAAGTGGAATATAATAAAATAGAATACAGACTATTTTAGTAGCAAGATTATTTTGTATTATATATAGATATTTATATAATATATGTGATTTATTAAATCTAATGAAAACTAAATTTAAAGAATTATTGTATTGAAATTTTGAACCTATATTAAAGAAGTCATTAAGAAATAATAAAATAAAGAAAAACAAAGTTTTTTGTTATATCATTACTTATATTTTAAGAATACTGATAGATTTTCTGAAATTTATAATCTATCATATTTAATCAAACAAAACAAATTTAAATGATAAAATCAAATCTATAAACTTACATTTATGTCCAGAAAAGACTTTAAAACATATAAATGTTGAAAATCTACAGGTGTTTCAATTAAGACTATCAAATAGTAAACCCAAGTTTGTCTTATAACAGAGTCTGTTTTAATCAGGAGACAAAGTTCATTTGGCAAAAGAAATTTTTATTTGCTGTTAGTTTTGGAATTAAAACATCCCCTCTTCAGGCTACAAAAATACATAAAATATATTTAACATAGCAATTTTAAAATACAAAGTAATAAATACAATAAAAATTAAACTACCAACTGAGAACATTTCATTTTTTACATATACTACTCATACTACTATATATATATTTTTTACATTTTTACATATGATTTGAGGAGTATATTGTGATATTAATATCACAATATACTCCTCAAATCATTTTTGTGAAAATTCATTGTTTTAAAAATTTAAGAACATAAAAAAGGAATAAAGTAAAATAAAAAATAATTAAAAATTNTTTTGAAAAAATCAAGCAATGTAAAATAAAAAATAATTAAAAATTGTTTTAAAAAATTATATTGATATGCCAACTGTCAAGAAAAATACATATAATTTTCACTATTCAAATCTTATTTTCCTGGTAAATTCTGAAGACATTAACAACTTATGAATACAATTAACTTTCTTTCAATTATGTTTTTTTACAGTTAAGCAACAGTATTTACTTTCCAAATGCCATCTATCTCCTTACTTTTATTTAAATTAATCGACTTTGACAATTGTAATATTTTACTCTGTTTCTTTTATAGTCTGTGTTCAGTATGTCTTTCATATGGATCTTTCTCAAAATATAATATTTTGACATATATAATATACAGTTTTACCCAATTACAGTTTAACATCATCCATGGGACTGGCAATTTTTTGATATTATAACCGAGTGTCATTATCTGTGGGGTCATAATTTCAGTTCCATAAAAAGTACCAAGTATGTTTAAGAATCTATTATAAAATCCATTCTAATTTAACATTGTATGTATTACCATAAAATTATTTCTTATAATGGTAATACAGTATACTATATCTATTATTGTAATAATAATTTATTATCATATGTATAAAAGTGCAAACTAAATGTTTAAATCAACTTTATTTACATTATTATGTCTAAATTTTACATTGATGTAATTAAAAATTTCAAAAATAACCTTTTATAAGAAATTTCTATTTGTCTTAAGTTTTGATAATGGTAGCATTTCCGGTTTTGAGAATAATGTTGCATCAAAAGGCAACATTAGGTTAAACTAATGTATGTTAATTAAAAAGACATAATAACAATATTCACTTAAAAAAGTCAGTATTTTTAGATTGTAGATGTTTTTCACCTCAAAATTGTTTATCAATGTCATTTTCTAAATCATACACTTTATTCATTATTTTTGATGGAGTTTTCTGAGACCTGTAAAACATTTTCAATAATCTTATTGCATTATGCGCTTTCCTGGTTGATGGCACTTCATTTTCTCTGACTGATGCATTATCTTCATCATCCTCATTTTTTTTGTCTGAAGATTTAATTTGCTCAACAATATCTGCATATGTATAAAATAACATGAGTAACTATGCAGACTGACCGATCATCACGTTGTTTAAAGATGTGACCACTGAAGTCAGGTGGTAAGAGTACCACCCAAAGTCGTTCTAGGAAGTGGACTCTGACCCTAGAAACTGAACACACAATACCTGTACCGTATTTTCTTTGTTAAATAAAATTCATAATCTAATTTTGTAAATCTGGGTGTGCTTAAAATATGATGTTAAAACAGGGTTTTATGTCATTACAAGTGGGTTTTTTTAACATTATCTAGTATAGTAAAATCATGGGATCAATAAAAATTTGACATTATATTAGGGTTGTTGTTACATCCAATGTCATTATAAGCAGGTTAAACTGTATGCCAAAATGTAATATCTTGTAGAAAGCTGTGCCTTCTACATCAAAATCAGCACTTCATCAACAGAATATTTTGTGTGTTTGATGGAATGTAATTGGTTTTGTTCATTATGAGCTCTTATTTTCATGCCAAACAATTACTGAAAAAGTTTACTCTGCTCAGATATAGTATGTGCATGAGAAGCTGCTCAAAAACCAGCAAACACTAATTAGTTGTACTGGTGTTGTGTTTCTTCAAAATAACAAAATCTCACTTTAAGAGTAACTTGGAAAGTTTCTTAGCCTTTCTTCGGGTAAAAACCCAAATAATTTTATAAGAGGGGAATTTATAAACTTGTTTCTTACTGAGAAAAGTTATTGTGAGTGTGCTTATTTTTCATAAAAAAATATCCTTGTTTTATTTTTATGAATGTTTTAGTTTTGTCTAAAAAAACTGCGCACAGTTTTTTAGACAAAACTAAAATACCTGATATCTGTATGCTACATAATAATAAAAACAGAAACTCAAACTATCCTATAAAAAATGGAGTCTTCAAAGTAGTAAATTACCTGCACAAGAATTAAAGAACTAGACCATCAAATATCAACTGTACTTATTTCAGTGTAATGACTGTTAAAATTTACTCTTACAAAAATACAATAAAGCATCGATTATCTGAAATCATTCCAGTTGGCAAATTCAAATTTTCACTAGTGGTGTGGCGCTGCAGCACTCTTCTCTTCCCTGCTGACCTAAACTATGGGACTACTTTATGTAAGGTATGTATTTGTAAGACATATGATACAAAAGATATAATTTTGGTTTGTTGATATAATATTAACAAACCAAAATTATAAAGGGAAAAAATATTAAATTTTATAAAATGTAAAGTTTAATAATCTTCATGAGATTAAGAACTGGATATGCACTTGTACTTGAAATTTAATCTTCACCTATGGTTGTTTCTTTATGAATATGTACAAATTATATAGCACTGAAGAGGGGTTTGAGAGTTCACATCAACTCAAAATGCATATGTAGAAGAAAGAATTGAATAAACTGTACATTTTAACCTTTGATATTTTACTTGCTGAACAAACTACTATACCTATAAATATAGGATTATTTAGTTGAAAAGCATTAGAATACAGCAAACCTATAATTAAGAAAAATTAAAAAACTAATGTATTAATGCAGTGATCTACTAGAAGATTTATTCAATATCTTGCTAGATCATTCTTACATTTGTAAATTGTTCTGTTTCAAACAAACTTTTTCTAGCCTTTTTTAAAATTAATTATTAAAATTTGTTTAAGTACTCTGTTACATTAGTAACAAATTATTATGAATAATAATTTTTATTTAATTAATATACGACACCACAATGAGCGTTTCAGTTATTTGATTAACATTATATTGTGTTTGAAATTATTAATATTAAATTTGATATATTTTTTAAAATTTATTTAATTTTTAAATTACAGTAACTCATGGATGCATTGTTGCTACACTAAAGTTATTTCTTCCTGATGGAAAAGAAGCCAAAGCTAGGTATTTAAAAGTTTTATTAATTATGATTTATATTTCACAATGATTTTGTTATATTGTATGAAATAACATAGCATTTTCAAATGTTAAATTTATATTTTTTATATTAAATAAAACTCCTTATTCATTTTCATAACATAACATAAAAAAATCATATTTTGTATTTAAAATTATCTTTTGTAAAAAAAAGAACAGTAATATAGTTTTGAAAGCAAACCTTTATTTTATTTAATAAATAATTTATTACTTGAAATATTATTATATTCTATAATAAAACTTTTAAATACCTACTTTCAAAAATAGAAGTGAATACTTAAAATTTAAGTATTCACTTCTATTTTTGATACAAAGTAGATTACTATTACTACATACAATATGTCTAGAAAGATCATACATTAGAATCTCCTTATATATATGTTTTAAACTTGGGCATATTCATAGTTCTAAAAACTGTGTTTTTGATTCCAGTTTGAAAATTTTGCTTTTGAAATTTAAAGATCAAAATAAAATGGTTAACTTTTAAAATTTCAAATAGTAATCAGCATCTTGTAACCTATCATTTTAAAGGATTTTTAATGCTGAATCTAGTGGTTCACAAATTGAAATTGATCTAAGATTCAGAAATTAAGTTAAAACCACAAAATAACAAAAGTTTTTGAGTTAATTGGAATATTTTTCATACTTTGAAAGTGTTTGTAAAGTTCACCTTTACAGATACATTCAATCTCTCAAAGGATTGACATATTTGTTCAAACAAAACAAATGCTGAAAAATTAAAAGTAGATTTAGTTTTAAACTTCTTATATATATATATATATGTTAGGAATATTACCACCATAGATGCCTGACACATTCTTTTTGGCACACACTGTTTAATTACTTAATGGTACATTATGATTCATGTTTGCTTTGTGTAATGGATAATAATTTTATCATTTTGATACTTTAATTACAATCACTTAGTAAATTATCTATATTGAATATTTTGTGGAAAGATATTTAGCTTCCAAATTCATCCAAATTTTGTATTCTGACATTTTCAGACATTCAGAAGAGATTTCCATGAGGAAAAATTTAGTTTTAAAATTCATCTCTGCTGAATTTGTGATATTGTGAGTGGCAAAAATTATACATAGACTGTGCATAATGTACATATGCAATGTTCAATTTCTGAGTATAAAAATGCCTACAGCATGTGAAACACCATTTTGTTTTTCTGCAGATAAGCAGCAGTGGTACCACCATGATCATGCCTAAATGCACCTTTCTTGTGGTGAGATTTTAATGAAAATAATGCCAATGCTCTGAGTGTGCTTTGAGAGTCATTATACATTAAGAAATCACACCAAGGTGTTTTACTTCAGAGACCACAGAATAGGAGTACTTTAATTATGATCACCAGATATTATCAAAATGAGGATAGAAACATTATTATGAAATTATATAATAATATTTTACAAATACATTAGTTTTTTATTATAAATTATAGAAACAAAGTATATCAAACAAACAGCTGTATTTTTTTATGAAGCTATTAAAGCTAATTAAGGTTAGTGTTAACAGTGCAATAAAGGGATCTGTTCATTTGATATTTGAAGTAATTATTGAGTTGATTATATTTATTGTAAAAAAGTATATTATATAATGTAGTTTTTATGTTACTTACATATTAAGGTAATGAATTTTGCTCACAAACACAAATAGGAAACATTCTTAAACTACAAAATTCTATGCATATAAGTACCAAAAATATTTTTTAAAATTAATTTTTCCTTGTTATTATTAGGAAATATTGTAAATTTTAACTTGATATAATTTCATTTTTGTAAATTCTCTTTAAATATATAAAATTTATAAATACTATCAATGTAGAAAAACTTTTAAACTTGTTAATACATTAAAAATCTAATACATCATAAATCTAAATCTTAATATATAACTAAACATTTCATTTTTAATGCTTTTCAATAATACAGTAGAGCAGTGGTTCCCAACCTTTTTTCATTAGCGTACCCCGTGACATGTCATATCTCTAGATTGTACCCCTCATTTAAGAAATTTAGTGAGTAACCGTATTGTTAATTTTACATATTGTAACTTTAAATTAAAGAAAAAAAAACTAAAAGAAAAAATGTATAATAAAGTTGTGATTGTTGCAAGGAACATTATTTATCTAATAATTTTTTAATACTATTAGTTTGTGATACATAATATATTATTTTTTCTGCCATAATAACAAACTTTTTTCTGTACCCCTAAACAACCTATCGCATACCCCTAGGGGTACGCGTACCACAGGTTGGGAATCGCTGCAGTAGAGCATCGATTATCCGAACGTCGATCAACCAAAATGTCAATTAACCGAAAGCTTTCCAGTCAGCAAATTTAAATTTCCGCTAGTGCTGTGGTGCTGCAATCTTGGCTATTCCAATATTATTTTTGTTGGTGTGCATATTTTAGTTGGCAGCACTGGTGCAATCATGAGAGGGTACTTAAGGACGTGCCAGGATTTGAACAAATTTCAACATGGGATGGGTTAATATATTTTTTCGTACATAATCGGTTATCTGAAAAATAAGTTATCCGAACAACCCCAGTCCCCAATTGATTCGGATAATCAATGCTCTACTGTATATCTGTTTTTGAAAATTAAGGAAAATTGTTAAGAGAATTATGACACTTTTGGATATGTTTCATTTGTACCATCAGAGTATTACTTTAAATTCTAAAATCCAGTCAACAATTAATTATTTATAATAATTTTAAATTTAAAAAGTAAAACTTTCTTTGTTATGAAATTGAACAGTTTTTTGGTATTTTCAATTTAGTCCAACCACAACAGTTGTACCTGCAATTCCTGAAGCCACTATTTCAACTCATGATTTGTATCAACTTTCACAGTATTTACAAGTATGTGCAAGTTTTTATATAATTCTAATTTAAAAATCTTACAATAATAATAATAATAATTTTTAGTTTCATCTGAAATAATATGTTGATTTTTATCATATTAGTCTAATTTCATTGTTCTATGTCAAAACAGTGAAATTAGATTGATATGAACCTTGATAATGATAGCCTTGTAACAGCCAAAACTAAATTCATATTATAGATATTTAATATAACCAGGACATTCTTCATTTAGCTTTTTGTTTAGATATGTATCAAATTATTATTTCAGCAACCTAAATAGCGCTGTTTTTCCCAAACTTATCATGATGACTTTTGTATGTTATAACTCTCTTTTTTTTATTATTTTTAAAAACCTTTAACAAAATGCATTTTGGACTCATATCATCCCTCTTCAGTTGTTACATATTAAAATTTTGTGTACAAATCAAATTATTAAATAAACATTTGGCTTTCATTTGGCTGGGGTATTTAAACATTATTGAATACTGTTTAAATACCCTGTAAAAGTGATATAAAAGTTCTTCATTTTTATGTTTATTTATACTTGAAATGTGTGCTTATCTTATGGTATATGTCTTGTTAATTTTAATAATGTATTTGAAGATTTGAAAGCCAAATGTATATTTAATAATTTGATTTGTACTCCGAATTTTAATATGTAACAACTGAAGAGATGATACAAGTCTGAAATGCATTTTGTTAAAGGTACTTAGAAAGAATAAAAACAGAGTTATAATATACAAAAGTCATTATGATAAGTTTGGGAAAAACAACACTATTTAGGTTACTGAAATAATAATTTGATAACCAGAACAATTTTTTACATTTACTTTACATTAAAGAACTCTCAACTAGACTTGAGAATTATAATGGTATCTTTTTATATACTAATTGTCACTTACCATGGTTTGTTTTGAGTACTTCAAACACAATTTGACTTTTTAATTTTGCATTATTTGAAAGGTTTTCTTCATCTCTTGTCTTTTTTATTGTGATGTTTTGTACATATACAAAATATTAACTGATCCAAACATAAAATTAAAATGATAGATTTAAATTTGCACTTTCTCACTCAGATTTGATTGAATCATTGATATAGAGGCTATTCCATTTTAATCCTACAAAAAAAAAATGTTTCAGAAAAATTTGTTACTGTATCAAGGGGATCACAAGATGGTGCTATCAGTTTCCCCATAAATGGCACTATTATTGGTGAAAGTGTGGTCAACTTCATTTTCTTAAATGGGAACCCCACTTTTTATTGAATATTATGATTCTACATAAAAAATAGACAAACTTTTATCTAAAATATTGTTTTGAAGGATGCACTTATAATTTTAAGCATTTGAAGGTTTCTATTCAAGAAAATAAAGTTGATCCTGTTTTCAACAGTAATAATGCCATCTTGTTGCCCTTATGATACAATATAAATTTTTGTCTCAAACATTTTTTATAAGTAGACTAGATGCAAATTTTTTGATATATTCACATGTACAGGTAACCTCCATATAAACCAGGAGTTACATTCCAAAAAATTGCCATGTTATACAAATCTGTGTTATATGAAACAAAGAACTAGTGTGAAAAGGGGGGGTTAGGTTCCAAAAATTAAAAAACATGCTGTTAAATCCTTATTTAAATCAGATTTATTATTCATTTTTTTCATAGGTAAAATACTTATTTATTATTTAAGTAAATATTTTACCAGAGGATTATTCATCCTATATGATGATCTCNTATTAGATTTGTGATTGTAATTAATTAATACTAAAAAGCACTTGAGCCTTTTTTCTCTACTATAACATATATTAGGCCTACCACTCCCCAAATAATGGTATATGTAAAAATATGAGGATCTAAGCTGCAGCTTGTTCAGCATGTGTACAGATTGAATTGGATTGAGCAATGCAACAGATGGGCACTCCTGGGGAGCACACTGATTAATTATAATAAACACAATTATAAAACTAATTAATTTTCTTAATGTACACATATCAAGATCCCAAAGCCCGATGTATTCATACTAATCCAAACTCTCACTGTAATTAATCAGACTAATATTTTGCTACAATTAATAATTAGAAACTAAATAATTTGGTACTAGATGTAAGAAACTGACACCACTGTAAGAAACAGTAAGGGTGCGATTATGCAGACACAAGCGAGCAAATTTTCTGAGAGAGCGAGAATATGTGGTGAGAAGAGGCGAGACGCGATAAATATCAAAACCTGTCAGATATGTGCGAGAACCAGAAATTCGCTCTCACGATTGTTATTTCTCGCTTCTCATTTGTGCATGGTTTTCCTTTGCGAAAACTAAATCGCTCGCAACCTCTCTCTCGCTCTAAATTCGCATCTGCATAGTCGCACCCTAAGGCATTGCTGCCCGACTGTGGTCTGCCTTAGGTGGAAGGCACAGTGACCCTCACTTTTTCCTGCGATCTGTCAGGATGATGCAAGAAGTCATTTGGACGTATGAGGGTAGCAGTTGCTGGATGCAGAGAATAACACAGAAACCAAATTTACACAATTAATCATGTCTACTAAAGTATACAACATGCTTACATAAGTATTTCTACAGATGTCTTATTTTTGACAATCTCACGAAGACAGAGGAAAGTTTTGCTCTTTTATGAATGAAAACATAGTTCACTTCACACCAGCATTTAGAAATTAAATATAGGACACTTCCATATTACGTGTTTAATTTCGCTCTTTTGATGTTCACAAAGAAAAAATGAAGCAAAAGGAGAGAGTTTGTCTTTCAATCCTTGTTGTGGCCAAAACAGGAGAAGGGTGATCGTTGCTGTTGACGTACAGTACCTCAGGAGGCTGGAGGGATGTAGTCATGCACATGGAGAAGTTAAGTTCCTGTTTCATTGGTCTAGGCTAGGAGTCAGCAATTTGTCAAGTGAGAAGAGCCAAATTGTCATGGAAACAGGATAACAAAAGTACCAGAGAGCTGCATATATGAAATATACATATGTATATTACAGTTGAGCATTGTTTATCCGAATCAATTGGGGACTGGGGTTGTTCAGATAACTTATTTTTCGGATAACAGATTATGTACGAAAAAATATATTAACCTATCCCATGTTGAAATTTTTCTCCATTGCATGTCGCTTTGCATTGAATTTTCGTCAATGTTAAGCCTAACGTAAACTTTTTAAAATAATAATCGTGGCTATTGTATCGTTAAAAATTATTTTTTTATTTTGTACAAACAAAATAAATATATTGAAAAATATAAAAACCAATAAAAATATACTTCAGAAGTTGATCTAGTATCAAAAACGTTCGATTCAGCACCACACACAATCCTCAGAAAAACACCACACAAAAGTGCCAGTGCTGTCAGCTAAAACACACACACTAACAAAAAAAAATATTGGAGTAGCCAAAGATTGCAGCGCCACAGCACTAGCGAAAATTTAAATTTGCCGACTGGAATGCTTTCGGTTTTAACTGATGTTTCAGATAAACGATGCTATACTGTATGTGACTTTTATCACTGCCGTGGTATTGTTTGTATTCTGTTTCTGCAATGCCATTGCAACCACTAACCAATTAATTCATAATTTCATCCTTCATTTTATGAAGCCAAATGATTATGTAGATACATTCAATTTTGGTTTTGATAACACTGGTTTATATAGCCTGTTCTCAAGTTGTTAAATTTGTCTTCAGTTTCTTGAACTGAATTGAATGTGGAACTTATGATAGATTTTGATTTACTTTTTCTTAAATATTGTGTACATAATTTATTATTATTATTAACTTTCATTGCATTTTCACCACTACAAAGGCAATCTTTAAGATGACTCATAAAAGGCTAAATAGATTCCATTTGTTTAGTTACTTATATAATATATTATTGAAAGTAAGTCCTGATCTTGAATAGTGCCAAACATTTTCCTGTCTGTGCCTCAATTTTCTTATTTTACAGGATCATATACTTTATGTATTAAAGTTTAGTAAGTAACAATAGTAATAGACTCAATAATTTCAAATATGTTATTGTTTTAACATAATACTTTTAAAAATTGTTTGAAAATAGTTTATAAAATTTTGAATTATTAATAAAAAAAAAATTTAATGAATATTATTGAATTGCTTAATACTTTATATCTCAAAATGTTTAAATATACTAAATTAATTCAATAAAATCATGAACTTTAATTTTTTCATTTATTTTTCAGAATTATTATCTGTAATTTGTTAATTGTAAGATACAGTAAATTTTTTACTATTTAAAAAACTTTTTGTTTTAAGTATCAAATTTTATTTCTTAAAATAAATTGTGAAAAATGTGTGTATTTATAATTTTATAAAATATAGATAAATTTATTTCAGGAAGCACTTCATCGGGAACAAATTTTAGAAAATAAACTTATTACATTGCAAAAAGTTATGTCCAGTACCCAAGAAGCTTCAGATAATGGATGGAAGGTATATTTTGAAATTTGCTCTATTAAGTAAGAAAATTCTATTTAATAATAATACAAAGTTCAGTATTAAAAACATTATGTATATGTTTTAAAAAATATTGTAAACAGTTTAATTTAATTATATTAAAGTACAATAATAAACGAGTGAAATGTTTGGAAAAAAGTTAAAATTTTGAGCATCATTATTTATATATTATTAACAGTAAAAGTAATTCTACTTAAGTTTCAGTCAGTTTTTTTCAAGCTCTTTATTAATTAACTTCTAGTTAGCAAATCTAAATACAGATACAGATTGAAATTCTAGAGTTAGTTGAAGTTTTATATAATTTTTTTTGTATATGAATAAATATTTAATATTTGAATAAATCAAGTAAAAGAAACATTACTAGAAATCAATTTTTAAAAAATGAAAATCTTTTCAAATTATAACAAAGGAAAAAAATTTATTTTTGTCTACGTGAGTTAATTAATGAAAGTAATATTTATTTTTAAAAAATGATGTTATGGTAAATATGATGAGTAATAATTGCAATTTTAAAAGTCCTGTATAGTTTAGTGTTGGAGTAAGGCTATGAATTTTATGAAATATGTAGACATTTGATATATCATTCATTGTTAATTTAAATATAATTTGAAAATACAGCTTAAGTAAAGTAATGTATATCTAAATGAAGTAGGCTGTTTAAAGGCTCTAAACCAGTGATTCTCAAACTTTTTCGATCCACCGCCCCCTTTGTTCCATAAAGTTATACCCAACGCCCCCTAACCCATTTTCTCTTGTGTGAGAAAAGGATTGGAAATATTCTTAGGAAAACTTTTCTATGAATCTCACACTTTGTGCCCTTACTGTACATTGTTCTCATCATCTGGAAACCATTAAACGCAATGTTTCCTCTTATCAGCCCCAATTTTGCCTTTGGTCACCGTTCAATACCCTGCCTCTATCATAGATCTATTCATCGCGCCAGAAGGGGGCGTTATTGCTTACTTTGAGAAACGCTGAGCTAAAATAAAAGTCAATGTGTTAGAAATATTCAAGTTGTGACCTTCAATAAAAAATAAAAAATATATAAAATGTCAACATTTTATATATATTCCGTCGAATTTTTATATATAGAATTTGTCTGCCGTCACCCCTCTATATTTCCTTAACGCCCCCAATTCTCTTTGAGCCGTCTACTGCCCCCCTGAAAGCCTCCAGCGCCCACAAGGGGGCGTTATCGCCCACTTTGAGAAACGCTGCTCTAAACTAATAACAATAGAATAGATCACTTCAAATAAAAATTAAGTTTCATAAAGTATATTTGTATTATAGAAGTTCTAAAACAGGTCGGCAATCTATGGTATGTGGGATGATTTTTAGTGGTGCACTGATTGACTAGAAATGTAGTAAAAATTGTATTTTAATTATTAATTACACATTTAAATGGAATTTATAGTTCAGTGAAGGCCATTTTACATTAAAAATGAACCATTTGTTTGTATATTTTTATTACAGTGCATGTGTTTATGCTTTGTGTCATCATCTACATGTTATGCAAGCACTTCATGTGTAAGAACATAATTCAATTAACAACTTAACTTCAAAATTATATACTGTATTTTTGAAGTTTGTTATAACTGGGATAATTTTGATAACATACATAATAAGCTTGGTAGAATCATGTCGGCACTCTGAATAACACTATAACTTACGTTCAGCACAACACCGCTGAAAGGTTGCTGACCCATTCTAAATTGTTCTAATGAAAGAATGTTATTTTTCTCCCTTTTTAAAATAAACTAAACTATCTTTAACATTTAGTTTATTTTTAAACTAAAACTAAATGCACTAAATAAATAAAAAAATTAGCAAATCAAATCAAACAATTAATATAAATATAAAATAACAATAAAACTTGATTATTCACCTTCATTTGTTTTCTGTATGGTAAACTTTTCATACAGAAAACAAAATGATTTCTTTCTTGAACACTGATTAAATGCATTTGATCATATTTCAGAATATACAATTTTTAATTTTATTATTTGGTGTTGTTTATATTTCATTTATAGATTAGATAAACATGACTGCTAAATTGATTACAAATTCTAATTTTCATTATTTATTTCAGTGTTTTACAACCTGTGGGTCGCGACCCCCAGGGAGGTTGCAAAGCCTTACACGGGGGTTGCGGGTAAAAGAAAAAGACAAGTGTTTGTAGGTCCTCCACTACAATAAAAAAAACTACAATCTCAGTAAGAAGGCTGTGCCTGTTTATTTTACAGTACAATTGGTTTTTTGATCGATATTTAGGTCTCAGCAGAAAGAAAGTTAAATATGTAGTTTTTAAAATCACTGACATAGTTTTAATATGGCCCTGGGGGGTCGCCAGAATTTTTTAACTTGTAAAGGGGTCGCTTATTCAAGAAGGTTGAAAAACACTGCTTTAAACTATCAGAAATGCTTATAGTTACATATTTATGTAGTAAAATAAAAGAACCTGATCTGTTCTTAATGCAGAACACTTATTTTACAAATAATCTCAATTTCCAAAATTCAATAGAACCTGTTATTGGAGGTAGATAATAAATGAGGATTAATAATAAAAATAAAATCAGTAGAAGTGGTTTTCTTTAGAAAATATATATTGAGTTTAACTGTTAACTTGTAAATTATTCTAAAAACATATCTTTATAAATGCATTTTAATTATTAGCAAATCATTTATTCTATTCCTTTTTTTCCTTTCAAAAATTTATTTCAGTTGATTAAACAAATAAATAGTTAGTTAATAAACAAATTATTAATAAATTAGACTAATCTGATATGTTTCTAGAATGATAAATATTTTATTCTGAAAGATCATATATGACAAAATTATATACTACTAAATAATTATATTGGAAATAAAATTATACATTAATAATTATAAAATTAATGTATCATTTTAAAAATGTTTGATTTAAAAGTTCTTACATATGTAATATATATTCTATATGCTCAAACAGGATAACTGGTTTAGAATACTGTGATTCGAATGTTAAACTATAAAGACCTGATGATGGAATAATGAACATTCCAAAAACATTAACCATTCATTTAATAAAACAAATATTTTCTGGTTTCTTCTAAATTTGAGTTTGTTTCACTAATCAGTTTCTTTTTCCATTGCTATTCAATATTTTTATAATTTCTGATTGGATTTTTGTGTAGTTTCTTTAATTTAAGTTACCTTAATTTAAAAGTCAAAAGTAATGAATTTTTTCTTAAGATATCTTTTTAATATAATGAATAAACAGTTTCAGCAATTTAGTTGCTTTTTAAAAGCAACTTATTGCTGAAACTGATTATTCATTATATTAAAAACTTATTGACTACTTTGTATAATAATTGCAAAATATTCAGCTCTGTTGATGCATAGACCTACGTGTAATATTTTAATAAAACTCTCATGTATGTGTCTATTCAAACATCAACAGACCTGAACTTTATATGTTACTATATAACTAGAAAAGTTATAAATACAAATAAAAATATTGTAATATAAAATTAATACAAGATAAATTTAAATATTTTAATATTATTTATGGTGTAATTTAATCTGATTTACTGTCTAATATTCAACAGAAATAAAATTGTCATCAAAATGGTAGAGATGAATAATCATATCTTCATTTATGAAGTTCTGACAATTTTTTCATTATTTTTTTCTTTCACTACAGTATTGATGGCCTTAATGTCAGTCAGCCAAAGTATAAATTTATATAAATGCAAAATGTAAACAAAACATATAATGATGTTTGTTTACTTAGAGCTGAAAAAAAGCTATGATCTTCCTTCAATGCTAACCATAAAAATATATGAATTAATTTAACTTTCAAGAAATATCGGTTTTAAATTTAAAATTTAAATTTTCAGGCTTTAATTGATGAAGATAGACTCCTTAGCAGAATAGAAACTTTGGAAAGCCAATTACAAGCTTGTTCAAGAGTAAATTAAAAATTTTTATTTCACTAAAAATATTTATTTTTTATATAATTTTAATATTGATATATCCTGCATTAATAGAACTTTTCTGATGATAAAGTGAGAGAAGAAATTATAAAATTACAAGAAGAAAAGGATAAATATCAAAATATTGCTAAAGTAAGTAAAATAATTGTAGAATACATTTAATTTTTGGGTTACTGTTATTCTAGGTATCGAACATGGCGTCGGTCGCCAACTCGGTCGGCGCTTCGAGTTGCCATCTTGTTTGCGAACTCGGCGGCTGCGGCGGCAGCTCCGACGCCCCCCCAAAAGTGCAACAAAGCGAATTACAAAATAATAATAATAATATTTCGTAATTCTTTCTTATTACTAAAACATTAATTCATACAAAAAATATAATTTCTAAAAATAGACGAGTAAATTAAAACACTCTTTCCTAGACCGACTTCGAGTGATTTATATTAGCGGACAAATAGTAATCAACAAAGATACTTTACTTTAACCAATGTTAATTCTTTTATTTTCATAGTTTTCAAATCACGTTCCAAATGCATTTCGCCTTTACAGCCTCATCAGTGGATTATCCAACAACCAGACACTTATTTCCTTTTATACAAATAAATTTTTCCCAGCATGCATCAACGTTAAGACCGACATTCTGATTCAACAAATTTGCATGTTCTATTATACAAAGATGTTCTACCACACGTCTTTTAAACAAATTTTCCATTTTATACAATATTCTTACAGAGTCTCTATTAATTTTACAATTATAATTAACACAATGTTGATACCATGGTGACTCTTGTCTTTTTAGACGAATCGCTGCCTCGTGTTCTTTTAGGCGTATCTCGAGCTTCCGTCCCGTTTCTCCAACATATGATTTCGCTTGTAAACAATCACATGATACCTTGTAGACCACTCCTGCGACGTCAAGCTGATTTCTTACTGTTTTTCGACCTTTAGTATTTATAATATTAATAACATTCGACATTTTATTTTCCTGCTTGGCCACTACACATACAGAAGACTTTTTAAATAAAGGTTTATATCGTTCATAAAAACTATATATATAAGGCATTTTTACATAAATGTTATTATCTATACAATTTTTAACATTATATCTGTAATTTATAAAAGAATTATACCACTTACAAATTTTATTCTTCGGGTAATCATTCAATAAATATTTTCTAAATAATTGTTTAATTTCTTTATTTATATCTTCATAGAGTGTTGTTCTGTTTAGTATTTTCCTCAATTCCATGGTAAAAACGTTTCTCTTAGTTTCTATAGGGCAATAAGATTTATAACTAATTGTTTTTTCTGTATTACACAATTTTTCATACTTACGGAACACCAATTGCGTTTTCTCACGCTTAATAGTCACATCCAA